TTTTGTGTGGATGAGATTAATAATCCTAATCAAGGAGAATCTCAGCCCAGTTGTGGCACATGTTACAGGCTGTTAGGCCAAAACATTGTGTTTTCTTTCTTCTTTTTTTCAGCATGGAATAAACCTATTACTTGTTCCTTTGCAGCCTACGCATGCTGACACAGCTACCCATCTGACGTATTTGGATATAGCTTACTGTAGCTTACTGGATGTCCATAGATTCCTCTCCCTGAAAAATATTAATATAAACTAATATTCCTTTTTGAGACCACCATATATTATTATCCAGTGGCCATGGATACAAAGCAAATTTGTGTCTTTCTCATTATGGTTTAGTTCAATAAAATGGTTCAATAAAAGTTTCTGTACTGGACAGTACGTAATGCGTATACCACTTGAGAATTGTGAAAAAAATAGGCTTGCTGGAAAAATGAAAACAGGCTGCGTGTGACCATAGCATCTGTTTTGCCCATGGCTGCTGACAACAGAAGTTGTGTGGGAAAAGCATTTCTTTTTGTCTCACCACCCATCCTTTTGCCTCTTGCAAGTGGGATACTTAGAGCCTGTGAAATTCAGGGGTCAGTAAATGCCAGTGTAATGAAACAACTTGAAATTTTGTGCTGATTTCCCCTTTAACTTTCAAAGGACCATAGAGACAGCATCTAGCTTTTGAATATAATCATAGCTGAACATCACTTAACTGTTCATGTACAGCTTGCTGCTATTACTGTTTTTGGTTATTTAAACAAACAGCTATGTGTATGTATTCTACAAAGGTCCTATGTAGGAAACTCCACTGGTAAGGAATGATTCACGAATGGTTCAGACATCTGGTAGTGAAGAATTATTTTCATATGAACAATAAATGTTTTTGAGATAAATTGGAATATTTTCCTAATCCTCCACAAAGGTTGAGTTTTCTATTGACAAGATGAAGACCGCTTATGCTGTTCATAATTATAAACAGATATTAAATGTCCTGAATTCTTTCTACTCTGTTAAAAACACTTTCCATGTGTGAACACAAGAGAATTCAAGAATGAAAAGATAATATGTCTGCTTTGTTTAAGTTTTGTTAGTGAGCAAGTAGAAGGCCAAGTCTGTAACATGAAAAAGGTAAGCAAATAACAAATAGAACATTGTGACCTTAGAAATTGGAGGTTTCCAGACGAAGAAAAGCATTATATTTAAAGATATAGTGTGAACTTAAAATCCTTTCTGATTTTTCCAGTCAATCAAAGCAGGTTTATGTGTTCACAGTCCCACAGAGAGTGTCAAGGCTATAATTCCAGCACGAAGGGGAACATGTTCATTATGGTGACTCTAGAAATATTTTAAAAATAAATATAAGAAAACATAATGACATAAATGAAATATATTGTATATACACTTGTATTATAAAATATATTCTCAAGTATGGGAAAATGAGTCACAAATTACTTAGATCTAAAAAAAGTCATGTGTATATTTACAGTAATTTCAGGATTCTGATACATCAATTTCAAAATTATGTGGAAATAGTTCCTATCCCATTTGAAAACTACAACTCATGAAAAGGCACATTGTAGTTTTAATAGATTTTTAATCAGATATAATGTGCTGCTCATCTTGTTCCTACTGTACCATACAGACATTCTTTATTATTTTTCTGAAGTCTTTCCCCTCTTTTCTGTGGAAAAAAAATGATCATAGTGATGACAGAAATGGGCTTCCACGTGTGCCCAGTTTTCTTAAGAATGGAGATTCAGAAAGAAAATAATTAAATGTCTAGTCTAACCCTTCGCCTCCTTATTGAACTGATTTTCACCATCACTTTGTGAATCAAACTGTAAGTCTTAAAGCCTTTATACATATAGGGAATGGAAACATATCTGATTCACAAATCTTGGAAAATGTTTTAGTTCAAAAAGAAAAACAGCAAAATAATTGAAGCACTCCAAATATCATGCTGATACATAGGGTGTTCCATAAATCCTAATTTCCAAATCACAGCTGGCAAAGCTCCTAGTTTTCAAAGTATGGGTTTAATTGTGGTAGGGACAGCCTAGGTTTTAACACTAATGAAGGGTGGAGCAGAACCCAATTTTTCAGAATGAAACTGCTTCAGGATGTGCTTTGGTAGGTTGATAAAAGTGTGGTACAAACTGAGGGAATCCCAAGACTTTCCTTAATGCTCTCTCCTGGCTACAGTAGGCAGCAGTCACCACATTTTTCTCCAGGACCAATGGTACGATTGTTTTTTGATGGAAGTAGTGAAAACATGCTGTTTTCAACTTGTGTAAGATTTCATTTTCATCAGGATTTATACACATTCCAATAATTTCATGCTATTCTGTCTCAGTGTGCTCTAGGGAGTTGTATGGAGATAAAGACAAACCACTTTAGCAGACAAAGAAGAGCAAGATGATTTACAGTAACAAGGAGGGATATCTCTTTTGTACAATACTAAATTACAAACAAAAATAGACTCATGCACTAGAAACTGGGCATTCCAACTAAGAATAACCTGGTGTCAGCACGATTATCAGCACTATTCTGGAACATATTCTGGAGAAAGAAATTATTAGAGATGTCCTCAACACATTTCCTCTGAAGTCTTTGATAAATTTTAAGATGTATTATTTACATTCTTGTTATCTGATGTTGGATTTTATTAATAAAGTTTGTTCAATTTCCTTCACTTTTGGTGTTTGCTATAGTACCCCATCTATTTTTTATCATTTGAAAAATGTATATATCTACTATTGATACCTGAGGATAGACAATAACTACAGTTTAAAATTTCAAAGAGTCAGATCAATGAAAATATATTGTATATCCACTAAACTATCTCAGCACACTGTATGAATGCACTTTGGAAATGTTGCTTTACAATGTTTTTTTACAGTATGAATTGATAATTGTAAAATATGATTTTTTACAATACCTAAAATATAAGCATGTTTTGGATAAGCAGCAGTCACTATTCTTTATGTATTTCAGGTGGGTAGCTGCGTCAGCATGCGTAGTTGGCAAAAGAACAAGTAATAGGTTTATTTCGTGCTGAAAAGAGAAGATAGAAAACACAACGTTTCGGCTGTGAAGTCTCACCTGAAGAGGGCTTCACAGTCAAAATGTTGTGTTTTCTCTCTTCTCTTTACAACATTGAATAAACGGATTACTTGTCTCTTCTTAATGTATTGCACCATTAAGAAATATAACATGTTTTGTTTTTTATAAAACACTTTAAGGAACACTAGCCTACAAAGAATAAATGTGTAGGGCATCTGGGGATTTTAACAAAATGAAATTTAATTTGATCAACTACAATCTCTTTTAGCAAATATCAACAATTTTAAAAATAAGACCATATAAGTTTAATGCTTATTTAACACTTTATTAACAGTCTATGTTAATTTTGGAAATTATTTATATGAAAAGAATATTTCTTATTTCTCTAAGCATATTCAAACTTTTGTGTAATATTTACTGCAGAAATATAGATCCCAGTCTATTGTGGAAACATAATACATTACAACATAATCATCAATAAACATCTTATCCATCAGGTCAGCTTGCTTCAGTGTCAATGCTTATATAAAAATTTTGAGACAACATGCACCCTACTATGGTGAAGGAAATACTAAAACTAAGTGGTTCCCACCAGGTGTTATTATCCCTGTGAAAACAACATTAGTTGAATTATCTACATTTAGATCCCATGTTTGCTGACATAAATATCGCGTGAAAAGGGATTTGTCCATGGAAATTTATAACTCCCAGGATTGGCTGCAAGCATATGTGTCTGGGTTTGTTGAGCTATTCCAAGAAATGATCTAACGGCCAAGGCTTCCACATGAAGGTGTGTGAAACTAGTGATGACTGCAGTTTTCTTAAATATATTGCCTCGATACGTCGCTCTCATATCCAACTACTAAAATGTCAACATTCATTCTTCATTGGATCCATGAAAGCAATAAAGGTAATTGGGGAATTATGAATTCAACAGAATTATTTATCTGTTTCTGGGCGGTAGGGAGTTGGAAGAAATTGAAAAGCTTTAAATTTAAATCTTGTGTGGACACATGGGAAAACCCAAGAGACAGCAGATGGATGGGCATGGCTACTGTAGTTCAACTTCAGCATTATTGTAAGACAGAAATCTGGCTGTATTGAGCACAAAGTCTCCAGTTATAGTGTAGATCATTTTATTTTAAGTCTTGCCACTAGTAAACATAAAATAAAATACTGCATTAATATCATTCGCATAAGAGATTGTACTGGTGCTTAACAATTTGCACTTTATCAGTCAATATTAAAACAACAATTCAGCAATTTCATCATCATCTCTTTATTTTTACTAATCAATTTACAAAAAGAAAATCTTAAATAACATTTACAAGTGTGGCAGATTACTCAATACAACACAACTGTGATGTGACAAAACTAAAGCAGGTCACAAGGATTTACATCTTACCTCAAATCATAAACTAACTGCGTACCACAACTTCAGAGTGCTAAAAAAGCCAATGCTACCAATAGCCACTGGAAAGCATATCTACCTGGAGGCTAGTAAAGTAAACATCAATAATGCATCATGATCTAGTAGTTATACGGAATGTTCTTAGATGAGGAAAAGTTGATGACAGTTTAACATGTGTATAGAGACATTTCTAAGCCTCTTCCTGATAGTTACTGCTGATCAATATGGAGCAGCATAACTACGACTTGGAAAAATGATAATTACTGTAAATTAAACTGCTTATATTCTAACTGAGACAATATCATCGTCTCCAAGAGCAATGGAAAAGGATTGCTGTGGTGCATCTCCTTCAACTTATTAGAAACATGAGATTTCACTGCCAAGTCTGATTTGTCTATCAATAGTTGACAAGCCAGTTAGTATGTTTGTGTTTTTTCTGAATGAATACATATAACACAAGAGAATTTTGAAAATCCATTGGGCTGATTTTCAAAAATACACATAAAAGTCACATATCAAATATAAACATTTTGTTTTTTAGACAATAATCTTTTGATAAACAAATAAATTAAAAACAATATTTCAGTCACACCTGAAGAAGGCTTCATAGCCAAAACGTTATGTTATGTCTGTTTTCCTTCCCTTTCAACATGGAATGAAACTTTACTTGTTCCTTTGTAGCATATGCATGCTGACACAGCTAGTTACTATATCCAAAGAATGGCGAAGTCCTGAAGACAGTCATTGAAACTGGTGCTTCTAAACAGTTGTAAGTGAGCATGCATTCTTTATAACCTCAGACCTAGCCATGAATACTAAACCAGCAACACCCAATTAAATTCATATTCAGGCTAGTTCAGTTGATCAAAGGGTCCTTTGAAACAATCAGTTGTCCTTTGTGTTTTATGGCACAAACAGCAATATTACCAGTTTTGGTCATAGAGGAAGAAGGGCTAAAACTTTTGAACCAGGATTAGCTGCTGAAAAAAAAAGGGCTGCACATGAGTGCTTCATGGAGTGCAAATCTTGGAGAAATTCAATTCAATTCAAGCTTTACTGTTACATTGGGGAAATTTGTTTTGCAACACACTCCCTACATAACACAATGATGGACAAGAGTTTAACAACAAAGAAGTCAGTGAAACACTGTTACATTAAGTACATTGTTTGAAAGAGATATTGCAGTGGGGATGAAAGATTTCCTGTGTCCATTAGTGACAGTTTTTGAAAATGAGCTGGGCACGCAAGCTCAAATTTACTTAGATCTCTAAGAAAGGCTACATTTCTTCAGGGCTAGACCAGCGTCCTACATGGTGAAAGACAAAGAAGAGGCTGAAGTATATAGATCATAAAACCTGGAAATACAATCCTCGACATTTTTCAGAGTTTGCTCTATCTGTCCTTCCAGTTGTAGCCAGACTGGTTGGCTGTGCAGCAACTACAAACTAACAATAATGAAAATGGCAAAGCTGGGCAAATACTGGACAAGTACCTTACTCCCGTGAGCTATAACCTCTTCAGCAAATTAGTAGGTGGCGAGTCATGTTATTGATTGGGACTGACTCATCAGCAGTTGAAAATGGATAACTCATCAAAGCACTACAGAGTTCCATTCAACACTCACAAGGGTCTGTCGGTACTGTACATCATAATATCTTTTGGCATATCATCAGCATGTTTCATTTACCAATAAACCATGAAGACTCTCTGTCAGGGCTTTCCAGATTGGGTGGTCTACTTAGATGAAGTCTTCATCACATAGTTGACAGAACAGGGGCACCTGGCAACATGGAGAAATGGCTGAAGAGGTTTGCAAAAACTGGTATGTGTTTAAAGAGTAAATAACTATTTAGGACACTAACATTTTTGGGATATCAAGTGGACTTTGAGGGGGTTCCTCCTGTTGAAGATGCTCTAGCTTCCACTATATAATGGAGCTCAAGTAATTCTGGGGCATGATTATCTATCACATTAGTGCATTTAGAAGCAGCTAAGAAGTTGCCTTTTTCCTCATGCTTAAAGTGAACTTTAGAATAGTTACAAATTAAAGGAGGCCATTTGATCCTTGTACCCCATTTGGTAGCTAGTAGTTAATTGACCCAAGGACTTCATCCAGCTGCATCTTAAAAGAAGCCAGGATATCGGCTTCAACAACACAGCTGGATAGTATTTTCCCTAATCATATAACCCTTTTGGCCATTTTTAAATGTAACTTCCATTCTGTGTCCTCTGGTTTGTGATTCACTGCTCATTCTGAAGAAGTCAATTGTGTTGACATATTCAATGCTTTTGAGGATTTTATAAAGTTGTATCAGTTTCCCTCATAAACAGAGAAGATTAGGCCTAAACTGGTTAAGGTCCTTCTGCAAGTCAGTAAAGGACATTCCTTTGAGATCTGGAATGCATCCAGTTGCTTTCTCTGTACTGATTCTAGAGCAGCAATATTTTTTCTGTAATGTGGTGACCAAAATTGTACACAGTTTTGTCTTGAAGTACATTATACAATTTTAACACAACATCCTTTGATTGAAATTATCTGGTTTTAACTATATTTCCTAACACTTTTAGTTGTTATTTGCTTCCCCACATTGTCTACAAATGTAAATGATGTGTCAAATAACTTACTATATGCTCATATGCAATACATCCTCTTTTAGCATTGGAGCTTTGCTTTTGCATCAAGTGAGCAAACTTTGACAGGGCAATAGGCAACATATCCTTGACAACTAGAGAAAGAACCTTTTTAGTTGTATTTGGTGTACAAAACATCTTACCATTAGCTCTATGGCTATCATTTTATAATCTTTTCAGATCATAAGCCACTCTCAGTATTGCTTAAAGAGTACTGTGCATTTCCTGGCATTGCTTCTGTGATGACACAGTGGTGGACTTTGTTACTATAAGTACACTTTTATATGCTGACTTTGTTGAGTAGATGCCTTTAGCTAACTTCCATTGCCTTTCGCCCCTAAACTACTTGTACTACCTTCTGAGTTGACAGCTCAGGCGGAGCGGTGGCACTGCTTTCACAGCTTGCTGTGTTACATGTGTACGTTATTAAACTACACCCACCAGGAGGGAATTACGTCCCATTTACATCCATTACATGGCTATCAATGAAAACATTTTTTGTCTCATCCAAATTTGATCTAACTCTGTGTGGGCTATGGCATCACTGAAAAATGTGACAATGGTCAGGACAAAATGTTAAGCAGTTTAAGAACACCCACTGATATAGACCCACACATCCAAATTCAGCATGCATATTCTTCTTCCTCAGTACCTCATGGGCACATCTGGACATTTCTTCCTCAGTACCACATGGGCACATCTGGACATCTAGTTTCATTGTCTAGTTTGCACAATTCTGTTGCAAGTGGAAACAAAAACACAAAATTAATTGCAGAAGTGATCACCAGGTTTTGACTGTTTTAACAGAGAGAACACAAGCTTTTAACCTATTAATGTATTGATACGCTGTTCATATCTAAATGTGCTACTAGCAATACGTGTAGCCCAGTTGTGCTGATAACTTTAAACTTGATATAAAAACTAAAATGGCCCATCCACCCTTGAACTGTGTATAAAAACCTAGTGGGAGCAATGTGGTATGTGGTAGTGCAGTGATGTTTTTCATCTTAGATGAGTGGGAGCAGACGGCTAAATAAAGCTCATAGCATGAAGTCTGATTGTTTTGTCTTATGGATGCAGCAAAATGGAGAACATCTTATGAAAACAATGTATGTTGAAGGAAAATCAATTGTATCAAACGATGGCTGTTTATTTTTCAAGATGTTTGACTTGTAATCAACATTTGTTACTGTATTGTAATTTCTATCTTGTATTTTTTTATAAATCCACATGATTCAAAATTACTGCTTGTGTTTTCATCTCGGCTCACAGCTATAAACCCCACTGCCAAACACGGGGGAAATTGAGGAAGTCTACACAAGGAGGACTCCTCCAATCTGCTCACCTTCTAGCCTTATCTCTTAAGAAGTCACAGCAATGCAGCCTCATAGCATAGGTGCAGCAATTAGAAGATTGGTGTGTGCTTTAAAAATAGCCTGCCAGTGCCCAGGAACCTGCAGGGACTTCTGTTGCTAGGAGGTAAAAAAGCCCTTCCCAAATAATCTCAGACTTTTCCGTTTGGCACAACCTAGGCAATTGCACACTGTTGCTTAAGAAATTGCACTGATAGTCAGCTAGTGACATAACCCATGCTGGAACTGCAGACCTCAACCTGTTTTTGGCACTACTGGCTACTCGGGAGCTCCAGTTTTGTGTTTTTGTGTCCATCTGAAAATATTCTGAAAAATATACTTTATTATGCAAGGCAATAGTTAAAGGTTTGTAAGAAATGAATTTAGGATATGTTGCAGGGGCTCTATGGCTTAATTTTGTAAATCATTAGAATGTTACAATGCATTTACATTTTTTTTAAATGAATAAGATCTTACACAAACTCAAAGTCCAATTCATGCAAGCAGATGGTAGATGTTTTATACTGTTACCAAGATGTCATTGGACATTTTGAACCAGTTTACTGAGGTTTAATTGATTTCATACTGTTGCTGTTTTGAATTTAAAGGATTCAGATCATTGTAAAAAATATATAGTAAAAGCTGTTTTCTTGCTAGTTATATTGTGGAGCTTCTATGGCTATGTATGTCAAATTCGAAGTTACAAAATTTAGATATTTAACAAATTCTGTTAATATTGATTGAGCAAGGTCATAAAAGAAAATGCAGCAACTACTGTAAAACAGCTAGATCAGTTACTGTACCAAATTCATAACAGTAACAGTGACAGGTATGGTAAGAACAATCATAATGAAAGAAACAAAAACAATATTATTAATAGTAATATATCTGCTAGTAAGTTACTCTTCTTTCTTTCTCTTGCTCATTGCTGTTTTTTTTTTTCACTTTATGTGGCATAGAAAACAGTCAAAATTACTTAAAAAATAAACACTGCTTCTTTAAATGCTGCTGAACGCTGTGTACACTCAAGGTATTGTGTGCGAATGCAGGCACACGGACAGTGCTGTGCTTCATTTTGTATTGTATCTTGGTTACTGTATGTCTGTAAGACTTAATTTGAGCAATGTGATTTCCTGTTATCCAAAAAAAAAACTTGTTTTATGAATAACACTGTTGAGCATAACCATGCTTTATGGTGGGCACTTATGAAGTATGGTAGAGTGTGCATACATCATAGGAGAGTTAAATTGATGAGCAAATGTTTGAAAGACACAATGGGCCAAATGAACAAGCTGACCATAGTTAAGCTTACTGATTGCAGCTATGTTGGAACCTCAATGTACAGTAATAAACCACTTATGTTTTGAAACTTATTAATGAAAGTATACTTCAGCATTACCTCCAATACAGTTGTGCTAATATTTCCCAATGTATTTCCATACTCCTTTCTTCCAATACCTGAGGTACATTATATACTGTAGCTGGTATTCAACGATTCGTATAGCCATGTACCTTGAGTGTGGTGAAGATTCAGCATAGAAAGATGTTACATACATTAACTTAGTCAATATTTAAAAACTTCTAGGCAGACCATTACACCTTTAGACTAAGTGCTGTATTAAACAAAAACTTTATACTAGGACTATCCCAGTTTAGAAATAGTTTAGTTTCTCTTGTTATATAACTTCAGAAAGTGGTTAGATTTCAATAATTCTCATCAATTGAAGAAGGAAAAATCAGAACAAACTTGAAAGTAATGCAGCTGTCCCAACCAGGTACAAAGATTACCATGACTAAACAAAAAAAAAAAGAGATTAAGGATTATGAAGATATGTACCGGATAACTTCCATGAACACTCTCAAAACATTTTGAACATAGAATGAGCTCCAACATATTAAAATATAACATGTGTTCCAGCTTGACAAAGGACTGGATTTCATGTACTTTGTATCATTCTCACACATGAATTAAAGTTTGCACCCATGGCCTTTCTCTGTGGTTGTTTTCTTAATTGGAAGAGCACTATCCTGATTTTCCCAATTGTGCACTCTCATTTACACTTCACTTTACTGAAAGTAAGCACATGTGGAACCTGCCCCCAATCAAATAAAGAAAGGCATAAACAAGAATACAGAAAGACTTGTCTAAAATAAGTGTCATTTATATATATATATTACATTAAGGGTTAATTTCGTAAATATAATAAAGCTGTTCAACATGTAGAAATTCCATTTAAAGAGAGTTAAAAAAAATATCTTGCCCATCTGTAACGTTAAAATCTTAAATCAAGTTGTGAGTGACACATTGCCATAAAGCTCATGAAAATATGTCTCACTTTGCTATAGCATAAATTTAGCTGTGAATAGAATTATTTGAAAAACCTTTATGGAGACTGTACAGTATGTACCAAAAAGCACTAAAATCTATTCAGCTTTGTCTTCTGGCTGGCCCTTTCTGTAATAAATGCAGGCTTCTTATTTAATGAAAACCAGATGAGGAAGTCCAAAGGTACAGATTCTTTCAGTTCCTTTCTTCTTTTTCCAGTGAAGATGGCTGGTACACTCCATAATCTCTCGCAGCTGCAGAAACCCTCCCATCTTATCTTTGCATGAGATGAAGTTTCCATTTACAGCTATTTCACAGCCACAGAATCAGGCGTCTACTGTCGTCTGTTTTTTCTTGAAAAAAGCCTGGCTTCAGGAAAATCCACAAAATCTTACATAATCAGTAATATCTTTAATCAGGCCTTCAATTAAAGCTTTGGCTGCACTTCTGAGAAAATGTTAGATTGCAGCTTTATTAATGACTATTATTGTGCTCCCTTATACATTGAAGTGTTATGTTTCTAAAAGATGACGTGCCAATTACTTGTCATTTTGGAGAATTTTAGTTAGTAAAATTGTCAAAATTTAGGAAACTTTTTTTTTTATCCAAGGAACACATTTAAGTTCATGGCTCAGCATAAAGACAGTTTTTATTCTGTTCACATATGCAAAACAGACAATCTGTGTTTTTTGGGAAAATAAAGTAGTAGTAGTTAAATTTAATGTACATTTAATTCACTTCATTTCTATATATTGTTTTGAAATGTTTAAAAAAGTTTATCTAAATACTAAAATTTCCTGAAATAAAAATTGAAATAAAATTAGTTGAACATTCATTTTTTCAAAAAAAATAGTAGCAAATTATAACTACTGTTTCAAATTATTGTAATTGTATTATAGTTTGTTTCCATGGAAATTATTTGCTTTATATCCAAGAAAAAGAGAGCTCAAACTTTATTTTGACTTGTTTTACATGTAGTATTTATACGTAGTCTTTACAGGAAAATGTCATATAGAATGCACAGTAAATATTGCTTAAATTAAAGTTTCATTTTTTGTGATCTCTCTAGAGGTGTTGTTCTGGAAGGACGGTACTTTCCCTGAAGAGTCTTCAGGTTCACTGATACATTTGTCCATACTAAGATGGCCGCAAGAGAATGCCAGCTTTCAAGGTTGTGTCATTTACTGGCAATTGCTGGAACAGAACAGGTGCTGTATGTTCCCTGTCCCAGCCTATTTAAATCAACTATTTCTTGAGAGGTCAATTCTGTAACTACTATGGAAGGACTTGAGACTGGTGAAAAGGAATTGAATTACAGAAATGCCTAAGTTTGGAGGAGGGTATCAAACTATGGGAAGACCTGGATATGGAAGGAAAAATTGAATCTACACAAAGTAACAAACCCCGCTAAGACCAACAAAATATGGGTCAGGAAAGCCATTCTTTTCCATTTTTGTTCTAAAGTGATGTTTTTCAAATAATTTAATTTGATAGACCGATAGAAAACAGCTGCACCAGTATTTAGTTTAGTTTTAGTTTAGTTTGTTTAGTTTGTTATTTTATTTTCCATTTATTTTTGTAAATAAAAACACTATTATCTGTCTGGCTTTTTCTGGGTGTGTCTATGTGCCTGGACCTGCCTACATTTCATATGCATATAATGACTGTGCCTATGATGCATAACCTTTGCTTAAAATTTAATTTCATTAGCACCACCACTGTACATCATCCAAACTATACTTTATGAAGGTCATTTTAAAGAGAATATAAAAATATTATAGCATGCTAACCTTGTTAAGTTACATTGAATCTGAGCCTTAAAATAATGAGACACAGAGTAACCTTTATTCTAGACTGGATTTCAGTCTAGAATAAAGGTATATATTTTTGTGTAAATGATTTCTCAAAAAAACATTTTTTCTTATAAGAAAAAGGTTTAAGCAATTTTAAGACTTTGTTAATAGTAAGGTAAATAGAAATCCAAGTAAAACTGATTTTTGTGACTATACGGGGAGAATTTGTTTTTCGGCTTGATCTTTACATGCACTAATCTTCCAGAGAATTAATTCACCGCAAAACTGTATCTGTAATTTGCATGTGGTTTCTAATAGTTAGAGTTTAGAAGACATAAACATAAGATTTCAGTTTTCAGTGACCCAGAGGCAAATTACTTATCCTTTGCTAGAATGATTTACTTATGAAAATCTGAAAGCAATGTCATAAATGTGGGATGCCTTGACAAAATGCATTTAATCAGTTTCATCATTTTATGATGCAAAAGCTAGTGACAGAATGTTTAGCAGGATTATGATCAAATCACAAATTGATTTTTTTTAGATAAACACATTTTCGACATTCTTTATTCTTGTATTACAACTTTGAATTGACTTTAGTCCTTTTTTCTAAACATATGAGCTATAAATCAGTAAATAGATTGTGTTTTCTGAATACATATTTTAGAACTGCAGAGGATTCTATATTGTAGATCTTAAGCACAGAGTGTTCAATATATTAAAAATATATATTGAAAAGAAAAAAATTATGATAAAAAGATTCAGATGAATCAAACATTATTTTATATGCTACTGTACCTTTCAAAAAACGCATCCTTCATACTGTGACCTTTTTGAAAACACGAAATGTAGTCAAATTATTATTATTGGGAGTATTCTGTCATCTTATCTAAAAGTAATCATTCATTCTCTTAGATAAACCTACTAAAGCCTCTCAGAAGAGAGCCAGTGAGGAGGAAGTTATGACATAAAAAGTTATGGCATGTTCATCCTACTTCCCACCCCACTGAAGAAACCCTTATTATTTAATATAAATTTATGTTACTTGCACTTCCTTTAATTTATCAGGCAGAATTGCTATCACAGTAGAGAACATGATTTTAAAGTAGATCTCAGGTTTTGTTCTTAATCATTATCAGTTAAAGGCAAGAAGAATATTACATATCTTCTGAAAAAGAGATTAAAACAATTTAACATTCAAGTCTTTGCTAAAATGCACTTTCTATTATTCTCTGTCCTGTTCTGCTCTTTTATCAGTCATTGTGGTCCATCTTGAATCAATTCTCTTCCATGAATCTTATTTTATATCCTAGAATATATAAATACCAAATATAAGAAAAGGCCTACAGGGCTGGGATATCTATCAAAGAGAATCTGATTTAACTAAAAACATGGTTTTCCGTGACCCTACTGATTGTTCCCTCGGGAATAGCTGTGAGGTTTGCATCTTAAGGTGTGTAAGACTATGACACTGTGACAAATGTACAGTACTATGTACAAATTTATATGTATAAGCTTATGTGTATTTCAAGAGAATTAAAAACCCTCTCTTTGAAAGCATTTGCAAAGACTTTTCAGATTGTTTTGGCTTGCTTAGGGTTTGTTTATTTGTTTTGGGCTACACTTTATTGTGTTCCCACAGGGTGTATAAATATGTTTATTAGTTGCTATCATTTATACAGGGATAATGAATGACCCTTATGTTTTTTATTAATCTTATTCATAAAGCCCTAGATAAGAGATTTTAATTCTGCCATAGAATGGGAGCAGCACCCAAAGACTGTAGAACTGCAGATGTTACACCAATTTGTAAATATGGGCACAGAAATGAACCATGAAGATATAAACCATCTGTCTTGCTGATGTTATAGGTAAAGATTTAGAAATTATAATTAGAGCTAAATTAAAAGGATACACCAGGGTCTTGACATTGCAAGGGTTCAGTCCAGAGAACAGTTGGGTATAGCCAAATAGGCAAATAACCAATTCCAGCCCTATACTATTATATAAACGTGACAGTTGTCCATCATCGTAACAAATAAAACATACAAAGACAAAGTGGCAATAGTCAATGGAGCTTGTTTTTCTAAAACAGTGTCAGTGTGTCAGTTCTTACCAATTTACCCTGTTCATTTTTCAGCCTGAGGGTGCACACTCAGGTTGTGGAAAAGAAGGGAAAAGAAAGTAGAGAACACAATTTTTATTCAAAAATAGAAACTGCACTAAAGAAACAATACATAGTGTAGAATAGCACCAGCTTACCTCTTAACAGCACTGCATGGGTGGAAAAAAAAGTGTCTATTTGTTGGGGGGAGGGGGTCCTCAGAAAGGTCAAAAAGTTGTAAACACACAGTGTAGGAGACTGCTTATATGCCTGAAAGACTAGCTAGCAGATCATTCCAAAGCTAAAATGTTGATAGGGGAGGATATCAAAACCTAATATGTTTACTAGAAATGGTAACCAGGTATAGAAGTTCTAATGATCATCTGTTTTGTGTATTTGTAAGGGTTACATGTACAGTATTTGTAGTTCGGACTACCGTGCTACAATATGTGTTGTTTTGTAATTTTTATGTTTTACACCTATCCATAATGGTACAGCCCAAACTCTATTTAAAGAGTGTTATGAGTACTAGGTTTTGTGGTGAGTCAGGAGTCTTAGAAATAAGAGCAAGGTGCTTGTGACATTATACAAATGATTTTTTTACACACTTGGTGAAGAAACCCAGTGAGTGTTTATGGGGCCAGGTGCATGCAAAACAATTAAAACTGGACTTTTGTTTGCTTTAATTGCTGACTTGCTGTCGTGTATTTTATTTTTCCTCCCTGTGAAAAACACATCCTCCAGCCAACACTACCCACACTGGAGGTGTTGTGTGACTATAATGTACTACAATATCAAGCGTGTATGGTTAAAAGACATAAGCAACCATCCCTTATACAGTATGATATTCAAAGTACTAATACACTGGATTTAAGTTAATTAGAATAATACCGATCAACTAAAACAAACAACAGTAATTAAACATTTATAGTAATGAGCTCAAATAAACAACATGAATTCCTCTTTTGCATCCAGTGGGTGCCTGCCCTTTTTCTCTTGGCCTTACTAGTGTTTTTCTGCTAGATGATTATCACTCCCTTTGTAATTAAGAGGACAGTACAATTAGTACCATCTAGTAAAGTCAGCAAGACTGTAAAATCATTCCCCACGCTGCCGACACAGAACCAGAAACATTTGTTTCTTAGGCAGGATTCAAGCAGAAGCTCATTTTCTAGTTAGATTTGTCTCTTAATCGTAGTCTGTTACACAACTTTTTGTTTGACATTTGTTAAAGTTGTGTTTAACATCCTTCAGCTTGGTTTAATTCTGCTCTTCTTCCATCAAAGATCCCCTCAACCAGACTAAATCGAGAATATGCCCACCCCAGAATGTACTGCTGTAGGTGTTACAGGCCCAAGAGTGAAGATGCAACAGTCCAAAGGGAGTGGCTGGCTTACTGTACCTCAGGTGCAAGAGAAGCTGGCACAGTGCAGCGCTAGTCCAAAGTGAAACTCTTCACTGAAATCTGCTGAACTGAGTCTGAGAGCTAGGGCTTCTAGGGTGTCATTCTCTTCTGCTTCAGAATGAATTCCTGTGGCTGAGCTCCCAGGGAACAGAAGCTGCATGGGATTGGAAGACAGAACGTTGGATTCATGTGGGGTGCAGGCAGGTGGACTAGCAGGCTGTAGTGCAAGAAAATAAAGTTCTGGAAAAAAATGGCCTAGGACAGGAATGAGCCTCAAAAGTCCAGAGCTCTGCTTAGTCCATAGGGCATCTCAGTGTAGAGAGTTCTTACCTCCCATATCAGACTGGAAACTCTGGTCCAGGAAGATCTGAATGGAGGGGTCCAGGAGCCAGCTGATTGAAGGTGCCCACCTTCAAGGGGATCTCCTCCAAAGATCAGGCCAGGTGTGCACTGTCAGCATAGTTCCTGGAAGGCGGTTCTCCGGGGAAGCACCTGGAGCAGATGGAACCGGATTCCCAGATGGCTTCTAGATCAGACTGACGGAGACATCTGCGGAGGTTTTCTCTCAGTCGGTGGAACCCTTCAGACAGCATAGCTGCAGGCAAGCTTCCAAGCGGTGTCCAGATTAACTGGAAACCAGGAAAAAAGAAGGGCTCAGATGGGATGCAGGAAGGTGCCTCAGGAGTGGAGTGGTAAATGTTAATGCCGAGGAGAAACAGCAGAGCAATTAAAATACCTTTAGAAAACCTACCGGGTGCTTTGAATAAGCTGTCTTCATGGCCATCAGGGCAGAATGAAGGCATGACCGCCGGAGACTGAAACTGCAACATGCCCCACTGGAGAACAGTAGGCTTAGCCACTCCCTGCTGTGGAACAGTGGGACGAGCATAACAGTAAGTGAACAAGAATCAGAATATCATGTTTTGGGAAACATAATTTAATTGGATGGATGTAAACTGTAGTGTGCTGTAGGGAAAAGGTCATTGCCTGATGTATATCAATGATTTAGATTTTAATAAAATTATTAAACTAGCTAAACTTGCAAATGATACAAAATAGGAGTGATAAACACAGAAATAGCCACAAGGTAATTACAAACACATTGGTACAGTAGTATGTACTGCACATTCACAATATTTATCACATGGGATGATGTGGAGCCACAAGAGCTACATGCAAAAGGGTTCTTGGCGTGTTGATTTTTCACAGACAATATGATGGTGCAATAAAATAAGTAAACACAGTGCTTTGGTATGAAACTAAAGTGTCGAATTTAAATCTGGGGATGTTATACTTTAGTTTAACTATAGACTAGTAAGATCTCACAACACTTTTGTGCTCTGTTTTGGTCACAATATCACAACAATGTATTATAGCCTTGGCAAGAGTTAAAATAGAGCAATCCAAATGATTCCTGGTCTGAAAGGGGTGTGATATACAGACAGGTTAAGAAAAAATACATATATTCAGTGTTAAACAAATGAGATTAAGAGGAGGTTTGATCGAAGTGTATAAGATTTTAAGTAGTACAGTTAAGGATATTCCAGCTGACTATTTCACCGTCAGTAAAGAAATAAAGCCACAGGGTCACAATTAGAATCTAAGGATGCAGAACAGGAAACACAAAGAGCTGCAGGTGGTTGTGACTCAAACTTAATTTTTATGAAATGACTGGATGATATTTTAGTTCACTTAACCTCTTAATTATCAAACTATCAAGCAGTGTGAGCTAAAGGTCTCGTCTCATTTGAAACCTTTTTATGTTCATGTGTGTGCATGGAACGTGCTGTGAATGAGACTTGTTTTACAAGTAGCATTGTAAGGAAGATTTCAGGGAATGAAAAAAAGAATATTTATTTTCACATGTCCTGCACCTTTTTCTGAAACCATACCAGCTCCTTATTAAAGACACAGCCTAATGCATATGATGATGATGATGGATAATTTGAATGCTTTAGTTTTATTTTTTTTTTAAATACACAGCAGAGAACAATCATCTTTAAGAGTTGTTGAAGAATTAAAAGAAGAAATGAAGCATCAGTTTAAGTTTAAACTAAACTGAAAATTGCTGCAAATGAATTACAAGCAGTTTTAAATGCTTTTGCCAGTCCAACATCTTTGTTTATTTCCGCAGACTTATGGAATTTTTCCAAAGGATAAGTGCTTTGCAGTGATGGGGACCTCCTCAAAGCCTGGACTGTAACCCAAAGTTCCAGATGTTCTCTCAGGCTGTATTAAATCCTCAGGATGGTTTCACACCATTTAATCTGGTTTAAGCTTTGAGCTATTGAAAGAGAATGCTAGGCACAGTCAGTGTGCCCTTCTACTACAAATACATAAACTACTTTTAAAAGTAGATTTAAAAAAAAGTTTAACAACCTGAATTATAATTAAGCATGGTTATATGCTCAGAAATGTGTGGTTATCTAAGTTTCGTCTCTCATGTTCTTACTATATTTTAAAACCTTTTCAGTAGTATTATTCTAATGAATTTCAATGTAAAACATACTTTAATTAGTAGAACTTCAGAACTTTATTAGTATTGGTAATTAGTAGAACTTTGATGCTCCATTTTGTCTGAAAGAGACCTTGAATTTCTATGCAAAATGTTAAAAGTTGCAAAATTAAGTTTAGATCAATTAAGAAATGTAATTTGTTAAACTTAAAAAACAGACCATATATTTTGCTGCACATAATAAACTTTAATACACTACTCTTGGTATTAGAATTTAAGTGTTTTTTGTTTACCATATTTACATGAATATAAGCCATCCCTGAATATTAGCTGTAAACAGAAATTCAGACTGTGGAAATTGAAAAAAGAACTTTACAGAGCACAAATCACATTTTTGAATAGAAATGGTTGAAAAAAGAAGTTCTTTTGGTCTTAAATAAAAAAATGGAGATGCGTTTAAAAGATAAAATGCAAATACCTGTAATACAGTATACTCCCTCATACAAAAAATATGACGGTACGCGGGGAGCCGTGCCAGCATACAAACAATAGGCTGAAAAGAAACAGGTAAGCAGTGGAAACATAGTGTTTCTCTACTTCACTTTACAGAATGAAATGAACCTGTACCAGTTCCTTTAAAAACTTATTGTGCTCACCACGAGTGAAAGAGGGGTGGCAAAAAACTTAGCACAAATGTTATTACTGTGGATTGAATTGGGAAAAGTGCTAAGGCAGAAGAAAGACAACAGGCTGCACTCCTGGGAGGATAGTTGAACACTGCTATGTACGCTATTGCTGAGATTTTTTATTTTTTAATGTTATTAATTATGCAGAATTGTTTTATTATTATTATTTATATGGAAAATATATATTACACATTAGAATAAAAGATCATTTTATTTAAAATTAGTTTCACCTTCACTTTCACTGTCCCATACAGCATCGTCCTCAGTCTCGTTCCAGTCCAGTCCAAACTGCCTTCCGCCTGAACCAAGCAAAATGGCTGTCCAGTATAATGTGTTGCAGTGTTACAGTATGCTCAACTGTGACTCTGAACTGTGTTTTTATTTTTATTTGTATTCAAATACAGTATAAGTCCCATACAGTGTCATCCTCAGTCCTATCCTAAGAATTCAAAATACAGCATTTGTCTAATAATCCTGGTCCATTTCCTTGTGGAATGTGGATCTTTTGATATTTCCTGTTGAGTGAACTGATTTTCAGAAGAGATTCACTCGCTGCATAATTCTCTTTTCACTTTATTTTACCAAGGTTTATTTATACAAACATCTGATGGCTGTCGTTGACTGCTCATTCTACTGGGAATAGCCACCTGGCCATGATTTGTCTTTTAC